GATCATTAATTATAGTCTTTTCCTTACTCACAGATTACGAATTAAAAATAGTATCATAAGTTGATAAAAAACTAGTAACCTCACTTGATCTATAATAATCCTTAATATGATTGTATTGTGCTTCTTTATCTAACTCATTTTTAATTATTTTTACCAACTCCTTTAGCAAAGTTTTATGATCTAAATGCTTTTTAAAGACACTATTAATAGACTTGACACGTTGTGTTAATTCAACTCTGGCTATAAAAATTTTATTAATAAAACATCTAGCCTATGATTCACGAGTTGAATAAAGTTTTTTTTCAAAATAAGATCTACAAGATTTATATATTGTAAGCATTTTATTATATCTTAGATCAAATTGAAGCTGACTATAGCTATTTTGCATGCAATAAAAATCTTTAACAAAATTTTTAACTATATCTCTACACAACTTAGACTTAGCTTTTTTTTTATATTTTTAGTTATATAGTAAATGTATAGAAGATGATGAGTTTGTAAATAAACTATTTGGATAGCAGCAATCATTGCTAGGTCACTATCTGTAAATATCACAAGTGATAAAAGACTTCTAGTTGCTTCTAAAGTATATCTTAATACCTAGTTGTAATTTACTAACATTTCATACTTCATAAGAGCTTGGGCAAGAACTCTTGTTTTGAAATTATTATCAATACTGACAAATATACTAAAAGCTATTTCATATCTATTTGTTTTTGCTAATATATAATAATATCATGAAATTTTGGTTAAAGTTCATTACGCTGCTGACTTGTTATCCAGAAAAGCCCTATAAGTTTATTAAACTTTCCTTCTAACTGTGCTATAACAACATAATCAGGATCTTTATTACATTGCTTTATAAGGTATGAAAACATAGTTGTGACATTAGATTTATCATATATTCGAATATTTTAGAACTTTGAATCGTATTATATAAAATTTTCTTTTTTATATAATGATGTAGAAATTTTTTAAGAAAAAGGTCATATTGTTCATTAGCAAAATTTCAAAGGTGCTATATATTGATAGTAATCCCCTAGATTACAATTGATATACAACCCTCTATTAGGTTTTATTATTAGTGATTACTAACGATATATAACAAAAATTCATAAAGTTTAATATTAATTTTTTAATAACTATCAATCCAAATCGGCTCAAATTTTTATCACATATAGTATATATTTTCAACTATAATATAGTAAAATTTTAGCCAATTTGAATTAGTAGTTCTTGAGAAATCATTTGTTAACTATAGTTAATTTTTTAATAAAAATTAACTATTATTAACAAGTAATTTCTCAAGAACTACTAATTCAAATTGGCTAAAATTTTACTATATTATAGTTAAATATATATACTATATGTGATAAAAATTTGAGCCAATTTAAATTGATAGTTATTGAGAAAATTAATATTAAACTTTAAAAAAATTGGTCAAATTTTATAAAATCATTATTAATCAATAATGATTATAATTTTTATATATCAATAATCGTTATTTATCATTAGTGATATATATTGATATCAACACTCAACTTTTTCTACTAATCATCAAAACACAAATTTTTGAAAACAAAATTTAACTAAAAAACTTAAAAAACATACAAGAGTTACTAAAAAACTAATCTTGGGCTTCTAAGTAAAGAGAAAGAAGACAACAAGAAACACTTAGTCTTTTAAGAGACTTGAGTAAGAAAAACAAAAGTGGCAAAGAAATGGAAGAAGTCATGAAAAATTGTCAATATTTTTTTGCACTTTGCAAACTTTGGAGAAATTGGTCTTGACCCTAAATTGCAGATTTGTTTTGATAATACAAGAATCACAACATGTAATAAAATATAAACAAAAGAAACATGACAAAAACCACATGATGAAAGTAAACAAAAATGGTAAACAACTATAACAAACAATAACAACAAACAACATGAGTCAAAAAACAATAAGTCATGTGAAGCAAAAAAATAATAGCAAGTTCTAGAAAAAACCTGTTATAACAGAATTAACAAAGATGAAATCAAAAGAAATAAGAAAAGATATAGAAATGTATAGACAAGGTTATATTAAATCTGACACATCAGAAAGCTTAAAAGAGGTAATAGCAGATATCTAGGGCTTTAAAGAAACAATATCTGATGAAATAACAAATACAACAATAGAAGAAGAAATAGCAGAATACACTGGGCAAGAGCTTATTTCAAAAGAAATAACTGATGAGCGAATAGTAGAGCTCTATAAAAAATTATGGTACTATAACATAGGAGAATTGAAATATACAGAACTTGCACTTATAGAGAGAGAACATGAGACCTTTCATGAAGCAATCCAAAAAGAAAAGAACTCAGTTAATTGTATTATAATAGAAGAAATAGTTGGTTACATAGTAGAATTAAGAATAGCTGATAGAATTAGAAGATTATTAGTAGAAAGGCAAAAACAACATGCTAAATTAAAGGCAAAATTAGAAGAAGGTTGGAGCAAGAGACTCCAAGAACAAAGGAAAAGCCAACAAAGATAGCTTAACAAAATAGCACTGAATTCTACAATACTTCAGTTTAAAGAATCTATCAAGATTATAATAACAAACCAACAAAAGACAAAAAAAGAATTAAAAAAAGGAAAGATGCAAGTTCAACAAGAAAAAAGACAAGCTGCCGAAATAAAATCAAAGTTAGATATAGATTGGAGCAAGAGACTTCAAGAACAAAGAAAAATCTGACAAAAGCAGAATAATTTCTCAGACTTAAAGACTCTATTAATATATTTTAAAGTATCTGCTAAATTTACCTTAGCATATCAAAAAAAAAAAAAAAAAAAAATTAGAAAAGAAGAACAAGTCAAAATCAAGAAACAAGATGGTTCTAGTCTCACAAAGGCTAAAGCACTAAACAAGATTCAAGACAAATCAAAACCAAAAATCATATTAGCAACTTCAGAAGAATGGTTGACAAAAGTATTAGAACAAATTAGCATTAAAGATGATTCACAGTATAATAAGAAAAGGTGAAAAAGACGAAGAAAGATTTTTTGGCAAAATATACGGACTGAAGTTTCAATGAAATATGAAAATAAATTTGTCTTAAAGCACAGTAATACCTAGGCCGAGGGGTGTCAAAAATTAGAAAAAGAAAAAGAAAGATACTTTATTAGGAATACTAGAAAAGATCTTTGTAGAATATCTCAAAAATCAGAAAATCTTTAACAAAATACAAGAAAGATTCTTGGAAAGAAGACCAAGGTTCAGGAAGAAAAAGAGAAATAGGAAGACCAAGAAAAGAAAAGAAGAAGATTCTTATACCTGGAATATAGAAAGAAAAGAACTTGAGCAGACTGACCAAAACCCTGAAGTGGAGAAACCAAAATAAGACCTAAGATACCAGAAGAAAAAGAAAATGTATAGAAGAATATTTCTGGAAGAAACTGCTAGAACAAGTTCTCAAGAAAAAGAAAAAAAGAAGTACAAAGCTATAAACCAGGAAGAAAATATTATAGAATTAAACAAGAGAAGACTTTCAAGACCCAGATTTCAAATCAAAAAAGACAGGTTAAACTGGAAGAAAAGAAAAAAGAAAAAGAAATATAAATATGAACAAAAGAATTGTGGCAATATCCCTGTTTTAAAAAAGGAAATTATTTGATTTATTCTTAAAAAATTTGGTTTAGAACTTTGTTCAAAAAAGGTGAATAGTTTAGAAAGGGAAAATCGCCAACTTAATATAGTGGAGAATTCATTTGTTTCGAAACTATCTTGTGATAGTTTCTTAGGCTAGCTTGGTATAGCCTTCTGATAAAGGCAATTGCCTTAACCAGTAAGGCAGATCACACTTGGGTACCTTTAGAGTAGCCAAGTGATGTCAGATCTGTAACTTAGATAGTTTAAGTGCACCTTGTATATATGCTTTGATCTAATAAAGATACCAGCAAGGCTGCTAATATATGCAAAAAAATAAAATATATATATATATTGATATATAGCAGTTAATTGATATATATTATTAATTTTTAATTGATATATATTGATTAACTGTTATCTATTGATATATATCTGCTTAAAAATTTTGCTGATATTGTCTAGTATTTAAATGGTTATTAGAGATATAGTGCTTAATTTTATCTAAAATAGATTATAAAAGTTTGATATTTTTAGATGCCAGTTCTATAGTTACCAAATCATATTCATGATTGTATTTATTTTTGATTTTGTTAAAATATATAATAGTTGTGTTTTTTCTAAAATAAAAGCTTACTTCTCATTTACGATTAGTTTTGGTTAAAGTAGCATCACGATACAAAGTAATATCTTTTACCTTTCTCGATTTATTAGTACCAGACTTTTAACAATTATATAAACATCACTAAATAATACTTTTATTAATAGAATCAAGATCCTTATGATGTTTAATAGTAACAAAACTATTCAGTTTCATATATTTATTTACAGCAATATCAACTTCAGCTCAGCCCTTAAAGGTATCAATAATATTCAATATTGCACTTGAGATTTCATCTATATAGCTTTTATTTATATAGCTTTCATCACTTTTAGATAAACTATTTCTGCTTTCTGAATCCAAATTTATCACAATAGGTTGCACTTTTTTTATTCATAGGTTATGCTTCTTCATTTGTAGATTGTGTTTCTTCATTTATAGGTTGTGCTTCTTCATTTATATTGTGCTTTTTTATTTGTAGATTGCGCTTCTTTATTCATAAGTTGTGCTTCTTTGTTTGTAGATTGTGTTTTTTCATTCATAGGTTGCATTTCTTTATTCGTAAATTTAAAAATATCTTCAAAATCTATAAGTTATTATTATTTTAACAACTAAAAATCTAGCTATTATGAAATACAATAATTATACCAGACTCCAATATTTTTGATATATATATTCATAAAGCTAGATATATAGTTTAATATACTTCTTCAGTTTAAATTTTTTTTTGCTTGTTCAAGAAGACATTTATCAAAACATAGATTATAAAAAAAAGAAGAGTTTTGGCATTGCCAAAAGAAAAACAAATTATTATTCAGATATATTTTGTATAGCATTTGATATTATGTTTTTTTTTAATAATCTTTTTTAGTATATGCTATTATGAAACTAAAAATAAGAAAAGAGGTTTGGATTTCAATGTTACAAGCAAAAGAAGAAATAATTATTGTTATTATCACTCTCATATTTATTTGCTTTGTGTCAATTATATTATGCATTAGTTTTAATTCAAAGTCAGAAATAGCTATTAATTAGGGATCTTTAAATACCGACATAGTATAATTAAAGTATAGAGTCTGTGCCTATATATGGCACTATATTAATAGTGTACCTAATACCAGTAATATATACGGGATATTTTAGAACAGTGTTTGGACATTTTAGAACATTTTAACAAAAAATAAAGCTAATTTTATTACAATAATCTGTTTTAATCTTCTAAGTAAAGTTGTAGAGCATTAAACAGAATATATAATCATATATTTTTTATAAAAATATTTTAAATAGTTAAAGCTAAAATTAATATTTCAGATCTTGGACATTTTCAAAAAAGTAGTGGAACAGTTAAAATATATATTACTGCCTGACACTATATTGTTAGTAGCATGATGATGTATTGTTAACATATTTCTAATACTATATCTATTGTCTGTGTTTGGTACTAAGTAGATCTGATATATAATTATATTATACTGGTGATATTACTAGTAGTATTATGAAGTAATTCTCAAAAATAAATTAAAATAATAAATTAAAAAAATAAATTGTATGCTAATTTAAATTATAATAAATTAAAGATATTGTTAAATATCACAGGTTGCTATATCACAAGTTAATATGATCAACCAATTAGATCACAGGATCTTGTATAACAAAAATGAACGAAAAATTGGAAAAAATTAAAAAAAAAGTTAAAGTTTTAAATATCTCGAAATTTCATTATGCAAACTAGTCTTGGGCTTCTAATTAATAGTTTATACCAAAATTTTGCAAGATTTTTTTTTATTAGAAGCCAAAAGGTAATTTCATAATCAAAATTTTGAGATATCAGTTAGGTTCTATATTGTCTATGTATATACACCTATATACAAATAAAAATTGTTTTTAGTAATACACATGGGGGAAAGTCAATAGAAAAGAGACAAATTTTTTTTAAGTAAAAGTTTTCTTAACTTTAAACTTAAATATCTCAGCAATTATCTAATCAAATTTAATAATTTTTTTTTATTTAATTCTTTATAGTTCTAAGATTAAAATAAAAAAAATTTTATCAAATTTGAATAGATAGTTGTTAAGATATTTTAATTTAAAAATTAAAAAAAATTTACTAAAAATGATTTGTCCCTTTTCTATTGACTTCCCTTCACATGTTAAATATATATATACAAAACTAGTTCAAATCTCAATATGCAAGTTTATATGCATGAAAATTTTTTTCAAAAATAATAAGCTACTTTTGCTATCTTTGATTTTTTTATTTTAATTGGTGATTCGCCAGTCACCTGGTGCATGATCATAGTATAACATGATGCAGATCACTATGTAAATCATATATACCCTGAATGTGGTGTTCACCCAAGAAACACTTTTTTTTCGTACTAAGTTAATCACTCATCTACATTAAGTGAAAATTTTAGAGCTCGTCAAGGCGCATCTAACGGTGGTAAGTTCATCCATATCGGCCCAGCCGATAACGAGATATTGTCGAAAAACGATTGACCGACTATATAAAATCTTTATGTAAACAATGTTTGTTTACATAGAGATTTTATATAGTCGGCCAATCGTTTTTCGACGATATCTCGCTATCGGCTGGGCCGATATGGATGAACTTACCACCGTTAGATGCGCCTTGACGAGCTCTACAATTTTCACTTAATGTAGAAGAGTGATTAACTTAGTACAAAAAAAAGTTTTTCTTGGGCGAACGCACATTCAGGGTATATGTGATTTATATAGTGATCTGCGTCATGTTACACTATGATCATGCACCAGGTGACTGGCGAATCACCAATTAAAATCATCTAAAAAAAGGTAGCTTATTTTCAGCAATATATAGTAAGTATGGATAGTGATGTATGTTTTGACTATCCAAAAGCTTTTTGATACTGTCTAACATCCAAATATCCAAGTATCCAAAAGTATTCAAAGCATATCTAAGCTTTAATAATTACTGTATATTCCCAAAAATAAGCTACTATTTTTGAAAGAAAAATTATGCAAAAATATTGTAAGTAGTATATTTTTGAGTAAAAGTGGATTTTGCTCAATTGCAAAAAATATTAATAAGTAAATTAATATAGCTTATTAAGTGAAAGTTATTTAGGAGATCAAAATATATATATTCTAAAAATTTTATGTAAATCAGATAACTTTTTATTAATTGACTTTTGATTTTTACGTTCAATGAATATGAATTTTAAAAAAAAATTAAAAAATTCATCGAACATAACATGCAAAAGTCAATTAATAAAAAGTTATCTAATTTACATAAAATTTTTAGAATATATGTATTTTGTTCTTCTAAATAACTTTTACTTAATAAGCTATGTCGATTTATTTAGTAAAATTTCGACTTTACTATAGAATAACTACTGATGATTGTATAAGTAGCTTATTTTTGGTCCAAAAAAGAAAGGTAGCTTATTTTCGGAGTAGCATATTTTCAGAAATATACAGTAATAAATTTGTTTAAAATATATATAATTATATATTTTTTTAGATACTGAACATATTTTACTTAAAAAGTAATATGGGTTATCTTAATAAAATTTTGAGTAATTTTAATTTATTTAATTGTCCAAAATTGTCCAAAGTGTTTAAACTCACTATTTACAACTGTCCTATAACAACACTGAGTATGAGTTATTAATTTATTATAAGAAGTTAGTGACATGAAGTTGAAGTTTGATATTCTAAATATTTTTGATATTGTATAGATATAGATTAAGCAAAGTGTTTTTAGGAATAGATTGAGCAAAATGTGATTTATATTTAGCTATAGATTATATGTAGACTGTAAAAGTATAATATTGTTCTATATTCTAAAGTAGAAATGATGATAGTATTAATAATATAAGCAATTTGCTTATCAGTAATTTTTTTGAAGCTAGCAATATTAATGAGTTAAAATATTTCATCTTTTATGAGTATACCTGTAGTCTAGAAACTTGAATAGCTGATTACAAGGTATTAAATACAATAAAGAGTTGCAAAAGGTAATAGAGTTTGTGGATTGGTTGCAAATAAATACTGATTTGATAAAGTTGATTTGGATATTTGCTATTTGGTAGAATAATATTGCAATCTGAGTAATTAGTTTGAGTTTATCTTTAGATTAAGCAATCTAAAGTGTATCATTCATATATGCAAGTATAGAAATAGAGGTTTATATTTTTTGATATTAAGGAGAATACAAACAAGTTTGCTATAAGGCAGTTATATATAGTCTATGAATTGAGTTGCAATTTTACTAATAAGAGGATCATAGTAGTTTGCTAAAACAAGGATATTATTGTTTCCTCTTGGTCAATTCTATTATTAACAGAATATGAATCTGTGAGGCCAAGATTTATAATAACTCTATTATAACAGTTTGTTAGTAGATTGGTGAGTATATGTATAAGCTTAGATAGTATATTAATGTATTTGAGAGATCTATAAAATAGTTCTAAATTGACAGAATCATATACTTTGCTCATATCTTGCAATATGAGCCAATATTGTTTAAAGTTGCAGGATGTCTCTTAAATGATATTAGTCATCTGATTTGTTATATATTTTATATACAGAGGTTTATATATATATAAAATTATAACAAAAAATATAGAATTACTTATAAACTTTGAAGCTAAGATATTTCTTCTTTTACATATTAACTTTAAATTAAATTTTATGAATCAATATATCAAGAAAAGAAAAATAAAATGCTTTCAAAGCTAAATTAAAATTTTACAATTTTTGTATAATTTAAAAATATAACTCTGCTAAAAGAAAAAATTTAACAGTTTTAAAGCAATAATTAAATATAAAATTATACTTTGAATAACTCCAGTTAGAAAGTCAAAAAAGGTTATCTTAATAAAAAAAAAGAGTTCAATGTACTAATATCAAAATTTTTAGTTTTTCTATATAAAACTTTTTTTTTGCTTAGATAACCTGTTCTGATCTCTTAAGCATATTTGTTTAGCACACAATTCTATGTATTTTATATTTTATTGATTTGTTTTTTTGAATATTTTACTAAGTGAAAAATTGAATTAAAGGTTATATAAAAAAGTTTTTTTAAAAATTTTTTTAAAAAAACTTTTTTGTATAACCTTTGATCCAATTTTTTACTTAGTAAAATATTTAAAAAAACAAAATTAGCAAAACACAAAGTATATAGAATTGTGTGCAAAATTTGTTTAAGAGGTCAGAACAGGTTATCTAAACAGAAAAAAAAGTTTTATATAGAAAAACTAAAAATTTTGATATTAGTAAATAGAAAACTTTTTTTTACTAAAATAACCTTTTTGACTTTCTAACTAGAGTTGTTTAGGTTATAATTTTACATATAATTATTGTTTTAAAACTGTTAAATTTTTTCTTTTGGCAGAGTTACATTTTTAAATTATACAAAAATTGTATTTTATTCTTCTCTTTTTGACGTATTTATTTGTAAAATTTAATTTAAAATTAATATATAAGTAAATAAACTATCAAATTTTAAAATTTATATATAATTTTATATATTTTTGCTATAATAATATATATAAAAAAATTTAGATATAATATTTGTATAACTAATATTTGAGAATATGAATAGGAATAATTATACTGTTTTCAGATAAAGTGATATAGTTATATAGTAAAAGAATGTGATATTGGGTATTTAGATAGTTTGTTAAGAGTTTAGTATAAAGTTTTTTTAATTACTAATTTAGATATGATCTGCAGAATTTCTATATTAGAATTTGAGGCAAATTCTTATAAAATTTACTATATACTAGAATCTGAGCCTCATACAATAAAAATATTTTTAGTGTGGCGACGTAGAGTAGTGGTTAAGTTGTCACCCCCAAGCGGCAAGTCTAAAGTTCAATTCTCACTGGAGACGTTTTTTAAAAAATAGGCCTGTGTTATAGTAACATTTATTCAATGATTGGTTGAGTATATCATCTGTAACCTTGGTATCATTATCTTGAAATAGAAGCTTTAGGATGATCCAAATCTAAGAGACCGGAATAATTGAAACCCATTTGGCAAGACCCAAGCTAGAAGTAGTAAAGATCTTTGACGATACTACAGAGCATCAGAACCAGAGACCAAAGAATCAGACGAACAACCCTAGAGCAAGAAAGGTCTAAAAATCTGGTTACCAGAGTCGTACTGGAGAAAAAAGTCTGATACTATAGAATTCAGAACCAAGAGAAATAAAATCAGAAAGTATTTAGAGCCTAGATACAACAACCTTTTTAGGCTAACTAGTTTGGTAGTTGGGGAGAAATCGATATAAGAGCTAGTTGAATCGGGTATCAGGATCAGAATGAACCTTGTAAGGGCAGAGAGTAGGTTACGGTAGCGATGCAGAAGATCACAAGTTCCAGTTCTCAGATTGGGGCGTATGTTTCTAAAAATCTAGGTG